GATCAGAGACATGGCGTTTTGCACTTCACTCGCTAGCGTCTTGAGAGGTTTGCTCTGGATCACCACTGGTGAGCCTATCGTTGCATACTCTGGCCCACTCGGCTACAAGTTTGGTGTCACGTCCTCCAAATCCCTAGATCCGTGTAAATCCCTATGGAGCACAATGAATCCAAGCACTGACGAAGCCCACACCTCAGCTCGCGTCAAGTCCTCGCCCCACTGTTGGATGGTCTCGAAAGCCTGCATTTGCTTCGGGGAATAAAGGTTCAGGAGTGTGAAGCCTACAGCACGCTTGGACTCAAAGCGTGTTTCCTGAAGACCTCCCTCAATCACCCGCAAGACCTTTGTCCGCGTGATAGACCTGTGGTGCGGAGATTTGAGCAATTTGCTTTTCCAAGTCAGAATGACCCTGCAACTTGGCCAGCCTTGCACCCTGCACCAGAAACCCTGGCTTCGGCATTTAGCGGCGTAAGCCCCGGGCAAAAATTCCATCCGAAACCTCCAAACCTCGACCTAAGTAGATATGGCGAATGACAACAAAGTGCGATCGGCTGAAGCCTGTAGCAAGGACTGCTGCGACGTCTGAGAAAGAGTGCTTCCCCTGTTATTTACATACTTGTCGCGGGCCAACAAGTTGTCACAGCTCTGCCAAAGCTAAGCTCATGCTTCTCATACGTGCTTCAACTTGGCAAAGGCCACAAGCAAAGGACAATTAAGCCACGTGCAGAAAGTTGCTTCTAGCTGCTTTCACCAGCATGCTTCTGCACAACTCACTTTCAGCTTCCACGGAAAAATATTAAGCACGCCCTTACGAGATAGTCTGCCAGGATGCCAACAACCCTTATAACCCCCCTGCAAGCCTCTAAACCCTGAACCCAAGACCCCTAACTATACACCTTGCGCCATAAGTCCTAACCTCTCAACTCTAAGCCCTGCACCTCACATCCTAAACCCCGATCCCGGACCATCCTCCAAATTCTGAGCCGTGGACCTCGGCGCGGAGCATCCCAGATTCCTCGGCGTCCCCGGAGCTCTCAGCCTCCTGGGCCAGCCTTTGGGAAGGGTTCCGATGGGTTATATATGGAAAATGGGAAAGACCATGGAAACTGCTGTTTAGGGTTTAGATTCTACGCCTTTAAGGGTTTTGGGGTTTGCGCTTTAGTGCTTTTAGGGCTTGGGGGTTGCGGATTTGAGGCTTACAGGGCTTCATATTTTGTGAAAGAGCTTCCTTAAAGGCTTGGCTGGAGAGGGCTTCGCGGGGACTCATGGGAATTCAGAGGAGTACAGACTTCTGAGCATTCACGGTGACCAGCTTCCTCTCAAAGTCATGGGACCCGTATAGGGCCGTTTCACAATGGAGAGTAATGTTTGTTGGACCTGTCTTGGAGTTCCATCAATTTGTTGCGGGGAAAATATAAGTGTATATTAATTACAAAGGGTGACATGAGTGAGTGCTGAAATGCTTTTGGTAATTTGAAGTGATTTGTGTATGCCTCACCCAGGCAAGTTTCTGCTTCACTGAGAGGAGACCCCACTAGTAACTTCCGTCAGCTGCCACGGGCTCGTTGAAGGTGAAATCTCACAGATGCTGTCACGAAAAGGGCACGGCCGCTGCACTTACAAGGATGATCGTGAGCATTAAGCGCACCCTCTCAAAACACCCGCAAGAAACTCCCATACAAAACTGAGCTGAATGCTCCAGAGCCGTCTGTGCCTCGCAGGCGGCGCATGCGTGAAAACTGGGATAGGGTCCTTGTTGCGTTATATCAGCTCTATAAATATGCCAGACTGGCGTGGGAAACCAAAGCTAAAGACTTTTGATTGAACCATAAATAGTAGTTTCCATTTTCTTTTCCATTATCCAAATTTATCCCCAAAATAACCCCAATATAACCCCAATATAACCCCAATATAACTCTAAAACTGATTCTTTGACGCTTTAAAGCTTTCTGAGCCGAGCCGGGGCCTGGGGTGACAAGTGACAGCTGCACAGTATGTGGGGGTTCCCAAAATTAGGGGTACCTTTTTGGGGTCCCTATAATAAGGACCATAGTATATTGGGGTCTATATTGGGGCACCTTAATTTTGGGAAACTACCATATGGATGTATTTTGAACACGGAAGTATCATGCAAATGACACACCCTTGTAGGAATCAGCACCCTCTCTGGTGAGCAATGCAGAAGCCTGGCCATAGGCTGGCACAGCATGTGGCTAGTCACTTTAAACAAATGTTTCCAATGCCAGCTAGGACCTGCGCATGCAAAGCTAAGCCCATCGCGCCAACGTGCGCCAACGCATGCTTGTTGAGTTTAGGAGCTTCACGTCCAGGACATGGAGGAAAGTGACACCAGCGTAAGCGCTTGTCGCAAGATATCAGATGGCAGGAAGATGTGAAGAACAACAATAGGATACTTCCCTCTCGGACATGTCAAGACGGAGGTGAATCAAGGATGCTGCTGTACTAGCCTGACAGGTCTCCAAAATACATTTCGCGTGTCAGTCATGAAGGATTTCACCATGCAAACCAAGAGGATGAGCACCCTGACCGCCAATACACCCTACTGCTGTACTACTGTTGATGACTGTTACTGCCTTTCAGCTTCTTCTGTTACTTCTGCGACCACAACGAAGTACTGATGGCCTCCTCCAGAACGGAGGCATACTCATCAGCGCGCTTCTCTGCGGCTTCGATGCCTTTCTTGAGGAGATTTAGACATTTTGTATCACTGCTCAGCGCGTAGGGTAGTAAGGTAAGAGCTCCCAGCAGGTAGAGTAGCTGTCGAAATTGCAATGAAGACTGCAACGAACAAGCTTTAGAAAGCACCGACAGCCGTCACCTGGCACGTTGAACGCAAGCTGCAGGCCTTGAACATACATGAACCTTTTGAAGCTCACAAAGCCCAAGCACCAACAGCTTGCACTGAGACCTCTAAAAGGAAGGATAGGGAGAGAAGGTGAGAGGAGAGAGAGCTGAACATCACATGCACGGATGAATACTTCTTGCTGATGCAACAGGCGCCTTGTGCAAGCAGGGGTGAGGGGTGAATGCGTCAGTTCAATAATATTCTCCATCATACATAAACCCGTCCATAGTCATAGTGACCTAGCCACAAGCGGCTGAAGCTGCAGAGGCTGCAGAACTTGCTGGAGAAGAGTCGTCAAAAGAATCTCTCGATGCTTCACCAGTTAGTGGCGTGCATTCACTTTGTGCGGTCTTGGTCTGCCAAACGGTGGTTTTACTGATCTCATATATGAAGCAGCCGCACGGACGTGTCTCATAAAAGAAGCCTAATCCTGTGGACCTGTGTTGTACTAGGTAAGTTCAGGGAACCTGTCAGAAAGGCGGTACGTCCAACATTACTTCAATCAACCGCGGGACCAGCGGGATGCCGGCATTCTTTGCAACCTCAATGCCAAAATGTTAGACCCTGCACACTTCACTCTGACACAGTGCGCCCTGCCAGGTGGAGCCCATGCAACCAATTCGGCGAACTTAGCAACCAACCTGTAAGTGCCAAGAAGGCTTTCAGCATCAAGGATTTCACCCCACACCCCAACTTTAAGTCTGCCACCCAAAATCTTTCAGCCGAACCTGTGTAACACCACTGACACCACTGTCTGAGATGCTGGCGACTGAGTGTTGCCAGCACCTGCTGCCTCGAGAAACTCTTCTGAAACAGCGGAATGTAGGGGAATGGCGCCCAACATGGAGAAACCCCTCAAATGCTGTCAAGACTACGTATAGCCTGGGAAACCCATGAAGTGCTACATTCATGTCTGGAAAGCCATCGCATAGAATAGGTTTGTTTTGCCATAAGACGCAGCGGCATGGCCTTGGCCACAGATGACACTATGTGGGTAGCTCCCGAGATTAGGCTCCCATTTTTTGCCCCTAAAGGTGCTGTAATAGAATCTATGACCTAAAGGGGCGCATAATTTAGAGAACAACCCATGTGACATGGCATAACTGGAGTTGATGCACGATGTACACCACATCACCCCACCCCGCCAGAGTCCGTTCGAAGCTACGTGAAATATGATAATTTCCCTACATAGGGGAACCCCCATATTGACCCCAAAATACTCTGATCCTTATTGCGG